TCCCTAAGAGCTTTATCCTTATCCATGCTAAAGTCCTTCCTTGTTCTAGGACTCTCGTCCCTTATCCGTTTATCTCGGATTCCGATATCTTCGGAGGTAACCTCTGCCTTACCGAGATAACCTCAGTGTCATAACCTGGACACGTGGCACCTCGGCTGACACGTCGGCGTCACCTTGGCCACGTGTTGGGACTCAGAAAATATATCCCCACAATAACCAATATGATTTTCACCAAATCCCATACTTATTAAATATTACCATTTCTATTCTACTATATCAAAGATTATAGTATAATATCAATAACACACTTTTAACCATAACAGATATAACTTTTTAACCAAAACTAATTTAATCCACTAAATTAGTAAGTTTATTATATTAAAAAAATTTCAAATTTATAATACCAAACCTAACTTCACATGCCTCATCCCTCAAATATAACCATATTTCAACATAACCGTTTTTTTGTACCGAGTTACTTAAAGAGGTAATATTTTTTTTCCAAATTCTCTACCAATAACAATTTTCACAACTTTTCTAAAATTAATTAATCACATGATCTACATATCAAAAATTATGAAATATGCTCAAGAGTAACATTTTCAAGGTAGTGAGTTCAAAAGTCCACATTTTGTATTTTGTTATTTTCACAAAAATAAACACAACTTTATCATCAATATATCACATGCCATAAAATATCACGAATATAACATTTTTAGAGTTCTTAATCCTAAAACAACTCTATAATTCCCAACTTAACAATTTACACAATATTCCACAATATTAATTTATGTTTCTCAAAAATAAATTCTGAAATCAGAGATAAAAAAAATAATTCAACTTTATATTTCTCAAAATAAATAATCTAATCATAAAATGATGCAAATACAATCATACAATCTTTAAATTTTATTTTTAGATTTTTTTACAAAATTAACAACACAAAATGATTTTTTCAAAATCAATCTTAAAATGTCAATATTCTTAACATTTCAACATAATTTTTTTTCCAAAAATTACCAAACAAAAATTTGAAAATTATATATATATATATGCAATACCTTTTAAAATGACATATTTTTTCAAAATAACCTTAACATAGCTTTAATGTAAAAATATGAAGAAAGTCCCTACCTCAAATAATGAAGAAGAGCAGATCTGGAAGGTAAATATTGCCTGATCATGAATCTGAGACTACCATTGCGAAGGTCATGACGAGATCCCCGATTTTCATTTACAACACTTTTGCAAAATCTCACTCTAAAGACTCTCACTCTAGGCTTAAAGCTTAAGCCAACAATGGAGGAAGAGAGAGAGAGAGAGAGAGAGAGAGCAGAAGCTCTCTGCTCCACCCACCAAATGAAATGCCTAAAGGAAGAGAGAGAGAGAGAGAGAGAGAGAGCAGAAGCTCTCTGCTCCACCCACCAAATGAAATGCCTAAAGAAAGGAAATGAAGAGATGGAAGGAAAAAGTGGGGAGGCAACCCACATGGTTTGTTTCCCAAAGTTTAGTTTCCCCAAAAATATAATTTTTGTAATAATAATTCAAAATTTTATAATATAAATTATAAAATGATATAATTTTTCTCACCACAAAATATAACATTTTTGTATACTACAAAATACAATATTTTGTTCACTACAAAATATATACATTTTCATTCTTTATAAAATATATAATTTTTTACCATATGGTACATACCATAAAATCAACTATTATATATTTATTATAACTCCTATATAATAAATAATAACAACTCCCAAGGTGGTTACTACCAATTACATAATTAAAAATGACCAAATAGTTAAACATGAGTCACTAAACAAACTTAAATTAAATTAAATCTAAATCATGAGTCCCATCCATAAGCCAAACATGATCCAATTATATACCAAAATAGACCCAACAAATTTATCCAAATTATGATCTAAACATTCAAAATTAAATAACAAAATTCTGCTATAAATTAAACTGAACACTAGTCAGTCTGTGAATTTTCATAAAATAAATACTCATCAATAAATTCTGAAATTTTTACCCAACGCGCTAGACTTGTATGTGAACAATATATAAGCTTTTCATAATTTTCTGAGATAGGAAACTATTTTAAAAAAATACAAAACCGAATTGTTTTCGCACAGAATTTACACAGCAGTCAAATCCGAAAATTTGCTCAATTAAATTATGCACTGTCTATTTTTTTTTAAAAAAATTGTGTCATCACATGGCTTTTTACCCCTTGCAGAGACACTACCCTCACCAATTGGATTAGTACCAATAGTTGGATTGTTACCAACACTTGGACTGTTATCATCTTCAAGAGAAATGCAGTTATCCATAGGAGATTCAGGGGCTAAATCAGGAGAAAATTGTATATGTATCATTGACTTCACTGTGTTCGTAGATGTTACATCTTGCCACTTGATATTGTTTTGCAAGATTGACCAACAATGTTTTAAAAGTAAAATGTTTGTTTTCATTTTGATGGTATAAAAATTTTGCTTGAAGCATCTCTATCAATAAAAAATTAAATTAATTAATTAGTTAATTTTTATATGGGACAAAATAAAAAAAACTAACATAATAAATGAAAATAAAATTTTATTGTATTAACTTGAGACTTCCCACTTGGGTGCAGATTTTCAACTTGCGTTAAACATCTACAAAATTTGTTACAACATTTCATGATTACACACTATTAAGATGAGATAGACATTTGTGTTCTTGAGTGATCATTCTGGAGTGAGCAATAATTTTTGAAAATTCTTTCCCAAACATGAAATTGTGAATTCCCAACAATTGGGTCTTCAGTAATGTGCAACTAAATTGTTCAAATTGCCACATTTTCATTAATGCTAAATGATTTTCCTCTTTTTGTTTTTGATAAACCTTCCATAGTAATTGAGTGAAAAATAAAAAAGAAGAATATAATTTAAGATGTTTTGTTGTGAACTCAAATTGAATTAAGATGTTTGTATTTAGACCACTACAAAAACATGACCCTTTTTTTAGCTGTTTAATTTATAGTCGTTGGTGTCTTGTCTGTTTGGACAAAATAGCCTTTTTTTTATTATTTATTTTTAAAATAGAGCCGTTAGGCTTATGAGAGAGTAATTTATGTATAAATTCGGCTAAGCTAAAGTCCATCTATTAGAATGGATCGAGCTAGGTACAGTCTCTTGGTCATTAAGCCACGTAGTGGGCTGAGGCAAGAAATGGAGTAGCTCGGTCCTAGGCTGGGCAGATATTTCGGCTAAAACTTGAACTGGGTTGATTACATGTGGTTCAGAAGGGACTAGGGTATGACCAAAGTAGAGGACCGAACTTGGTCCAGCTCGGTGGAGCGTCATTTTTGTTGTCAAATACTCAGAACAGGGCTGCTTTGAGTTCGGTTAACCATGCTACCAGCCTAAATAAAAGTGTTGCAATCATCTCACTTGGTTGGCATTGAGTAGGGTGTTATCAGGATAGATATTATCCTTGGGAGTGTGATTCCTATGATGACTCTATTTAGGAGAGTTAGAGTCCTATTAGGATTGTACTAAGTGGAATCTATAAAAACTCATGACAGGACCTATGTACAGGTAACACAAATCTTTACTCTCAAATATACAGAGCTTTTGTGTCTCTTATCTACTTTGTTGACTTAGGCATCGAAGAAGTTTCCGGCACACCCCCGTCGGCTAGCTCATGTTTGTGTTTTCAGGTAGTAAAGTGATGACGTTTAGAGGAGTGCAAACCTGATCAACAGGAATATACGAGAAGATTATTTCGTGCTCGTACAACTTATGTTTAGTATTCCAAAATAGGTTGCTCACCGTTGGATCGTTGCATAATCCAACGGCTGATATCAACACTCTATAATCATCATTCTAACTCTTTCTTTCTTACATGTATCAGAATTCAGTCGCCTCTCTTTATTTCTTACTTTCTCTCTTTATCCCTTAAACCATCTCCTTTAAGCCTTTCTCTCACTCTTTCCTACCCTCATCATCGATCACTGGTCGTCTCTCTCTCTAGAGAGAGAGAAAGAGATTGATAACTCTCGGTGAAGATCAGTCAATCAAAATAGTCTCATCCACCTCCCTTCTTCGGATCACAAATCACGAACTTTAGCTTCATCTTCTATACCGAACAAAAAATTTGAAACCCTAAACCTTTATCTTCGATTGTCTGTGAGAAATCGAAACCCTTGAAATCACTTGAAGAAGAATATGAAAATGAAAAAGATGAAACCCTGAAACCGAAACTCATCCAAATCGGCTTTCTGAAGAATTTGAAAATGAAGAAGATGAAGCTGAAGCTTCAGAGTGCATCAATCATTTGAAATCCATAAAGTCTTTTTAAATCCAGGTATTTATCGTTTAAAATTTGCTTCAGATTTATTGATTATTGCTTAGATTGCTTGAGATTTGTTAAGATTATTTGAATTTGTTTGAGATTGCTTCAAATTTATTTGAAATCCTTGAATTTTTTTTTGTTGTTTTGGTCAAATTCTATTTTTAAAAAATTTGTTGATTTTTTTTTTTCAAATGTCAATTGCCAAAACTGTTTAAACAAATTGGTGAATTTTGTTTAAAGAAAATTTCGTGAATTTTGCAAAATGAAAAAATTGATCCTTTTTTTTTTTTTTGAAGTTTTTTCTAGAAAATGATGAGAAAGTGAGAGAAGGAAGGAAGGAAAGAAATCAGTTGGTTTTGAGTGAGTTGACAGATTTGGCATTTGTCAAAGTTTGTGTCAAACTTGGCACAAGCTTTAGAATATTGCAATTTTAACAGCTGCTATATCTCACCATTGGAAAATCTCTTTTTACTCAAAGCTGCTATATTATAACTTTGATAGCTCGAATGATAAACCATTGGAGATGCTTTTAGACAAAACAAATAAAAAATTTTGAGGCGACAAATTGCAAGATTGGGCCTTATTATAACAAACCTTTTTTTTTTGTTAAGATAAAAAGGCCTGGTTTAGCCGAAATAGATTCGCTTACGGACAAGACATATGGACCTATGCTTGTCAACCCGATGGGCCTTAGCCCAAGCCCAGATACTATATATAGTACATTGGTACTGTTCTTCGAGAAGCCATTGTTCTGCTATTGGCGAGTTTCGATCTGCAAAAGAGGTAACAATTCATTGCTATCGATCTTCGATTAACTCTCTCAATTGTGATTTTCATTTGAATTTCCATTTCAACTGTATTCGAAACGATCTGTCAATTCAATTTCGAAGCTAGTATTTCGAATTTGATTCAATTGTGTAACCCTAGGGCTTTTCTAATACTTCGATTTACATTTTTCGAAACGATCTGTGAATTCAATTTTGAAGCTAGGGTTTCGAATTTGATTAAATTGTTTATAACCCTAGGGCAGGGCTTTGTAATGGTTGGATTTTGATGTTTAGGTAGAGAAAGAGAAAGCGAGGAGTGATGGGGTTCGTAATGGAGTTTGCTGAGAACTTGATATTGAGATTGATGGAGGATCCGAAGGAGAGAGATAGAAAGTTCAGAGAGCATTTGTACACGATGAAGGATCGGTGCAACAAGACGAAGGAGATGTGGAGTCTTCCTCTACGTCCATATGGTTTCTGGAATTTCGATCGACACAATGCTCAGCTCTTCTGGGATCCTCAGATTAGCCAGGCCCCTGGTCGTCGTGATCCCTATGATGACCTCCTTCAAGATGCCTATGGCGGCTCTACTTCCTCCTCGTCCTCCAAAAAAAATTGTAAGCTTTTCAATCTCAGATTCTTTACTAGTAGCTGTGGTGGATTCAAACACGATGTGTTGACAATTGTACATCTAACCTTTTAAGCTATGTTTGGTTAAGGGATTTAGAAAGTAAAAGGGAAAGGGAAAATGGTATATTTTATTCATATTTTATCTATCTTTTTCTTTTCTCTTTCCATTTTCATTTCCAAATCCCTTCTCAAATCTCCCAACTAAACACAGCCTTAAGCTGTTTAACAAATGAGGATTGAATTTGAAAACTGTTTAGCTGTTATTGAATGTGGAGTTTATCAGTTGGCAATTTTAGGGTGGTATTTTGGCTCTAATCTCACTTCCCGGTGCAATTAAAACTGTCAATACACACACACACACACACACCCAGAGATGGGCAGCAATTTGTTGATTTTTGCTTGGTCTTTACAATAAATGCTAGGCAAAGTTAAATATTGGGGAAAAATATAGTGTTGCTGTGATTTTTTTGATATTCATAATTGTGTGACAAAGTTTCACTGAAGTGATTTGTGTGCTTTATATAATTGAATAGAAGAATAAATAGAAATTAGAATAGATATAAACATGTGTGTGTCTACATATGTATACATAGGTAGATATGTATAGATTATTTGCAGTTGGGAAATGTTGTTTACTTGTCTTCCAACTGCTATTAGAATTTGGAATGTAGTTCTTCAAATTTTGGATGTGTTCTTAGTAACTGTATCTATATGTAGTGCACAAGCTTGAATTTACATTGAATTTGAAAATTGATGTTGTTACGTTACATACCATTTAGTCTATGGTCGCCATGATAAAAAACTCTTGATGAATTTTGAACATTGCTACTAAGCAAGCTTTATCTATAGCTGGAGATCGTTGGTGTGCGCATCTCTGTAGGAGTTATTATGATAACATGATGTATGGAAATGATGAATATGTTTGTAAATTGTAATTGATTCTTGTGCAACTGTAAATCAAGCTTTCCTCACATGGAATGCTTTTCACGGTGGAGAAACAAATAACATGAACTAGGGAGGTAAGATGTGTCAAGTTAAAGAACTAGAAGTACGTAGGCAACAAGTACCACAATAATTTGGAAGTTGGAGAAAGGAGGTTAAATATCAATTGCATACAATAATATTTCATGGAAGCTTGTCTCAGAAGAGCCTCTATTGCAAGTTCTGCAATTTTTTTTTTTTTCCACAATTGTAGTTTTTGTTGAAATTTTAAATACTTGCAAATTCTTTTTGGCCAATAATGTTGATTACTTCTATGTGAGACTAGAAGATATAGTAGCATATGGACTTTTTATATACAAATATTGTAAGTAATTTGTTGCAACAAAGATCTCCTCTCATTGGGGTTCAACATAGTAAATTGTTTTTCTCTCTCCAATTTTGAAACCTGAAATGGAACATTGTACCCACAAGAGTGAATGAGGATGCCCAATTTAGACAATAGGCACAATAGGAATGACGATGGATCCTTGAGTCATGTGTTGTGTTGTGGCCTACCATCATGATAATCTCTTGGTACTGCATCATGAAAACATGTTGTTGGCTCACCATTGCTACTCTTTGAAGATGGTGGAATTATTTGGAGATCAGCAACAAGTCATGTTCCATTAGTTGTATTATAAACTATGTAGGGAATTAACTTCCATGGGGTTGTTTCACTATTTTAATTTGAAGAATCTTTACTTTTGAATAGGGCTGCAAACAAACCGAGCCAAGTCGAGCCGAGTTGTGCTGAGCTCTAGCTCGGATCTTTTAGTTATCGAACTCGTTTATTGAGCTCAAGCTCGGCTCGATAAGTAACTGGGCTTGAGCTTGGCTCAGCTCATTAAAATTAATGAAATTCGAGTTCGGCTCAATAAGATTTTTTTTAATATTATTTATATTATTTAAATAAAAAATATTATTTTATATAATTTAAATAAAGATAAACGAATCAAACTTGATGAGCAGAGCTTATTCGAGCTCGAGCTCTCGGCTCGTTTACTAAACGAGCGAGCCGAGCCGAGTGAATAGTTTGGTTCATTTGCAACCCTACTTGTGAAGATCTCTCAACATGACATGTGCTAATATTAGCAATGAGAGGTTGAATTAGTGTCCTTGCATATTTAGAATATTAAATAAATTATGGACGAGGACTAGGTATGTTAAGAGATTACTTGCTTTAAATTTTACATTTAAAAAAAAAAAGGATTCATGAGTATTTCTTTTTGTTAAGACACAAGGCACGTCATTTGATTACTTTAATTCTGTATGTCATGCAAGACGAAGACCATGAACTTCATGCATGTTAAAAACTAACTTCCTCACTCCAAGGTGATTTATGAATATTTTTCCCCAAGCTATGTTCACAGAGCTACCCTCTCATGCCAAGCACAGATATATTTTAGATGCAGAGTTTGATAGTCATGGTTCTACACTCCGTTATAATTGAATGTTTTCGTTTCACTGGTGCAGGAAGTTCGAGTCATTCATTGAGAGCTGTCTTCAAGTATGGAGGATTGCAATGATAAGTTTCATCTTCATTCTGTTAGTCATGTGTCAACAGGATTGTAATGCATGAATACTTGCTTCTCTATTTGGGTTTGAATGAGGGCCCACAGAACAAAATTTGCTTGCAGATATTCTTGGGAATGCTCATAAATGTTGCTTTTAAGATGCACTTTTTTACTTCTCATCTATAATAATAGATTTAATATGTGAATGTGGGTCATTTGCGCGAGCTAATCTTCTTGACCATGATTCAAATGATTGAGAAGTGTAAAACCTACCCGAATGGCAGTTTCCCATCTACATGGACTAGAATTATGGAACATGCTGTAGCATAGTTAGTTGAGCCTTAAATTAGATTGTGCAGTACTTGTGTATTACGTCAGGGCTCAATAATATGTACAAATGAAGTAGCAACTTTTAAATTCTTCTTTATAGTTCGACTTTTGGAACAAACATATATGGACTTAATTGACATATAAAAAGTGCAACTGAGACAATATGTTTTTATTTTTTTATTTAGTATTGTTAAAGTACCGGATCACAATGATATGTGATATCTTTCACTAATTACAAATGGTTAGCATAAATATGAGTAATGATTTATGAACAGAAAATTTATTCAAAATTTTTTACATTGTCAAATTTTCACTTGTCAGAACAATTTTTTGTTTGCAAAAGAAAATGTTATACGTCACTGATTTTTAAAGTCTACGATAGAATTTTTCAAATATGACAAAAGCTTTTCATATACATTGTCTGCGCTTTTCATCTTTTCTTAAGTCACAATTGCATATTTTAATTAAAAAATTTAAAAATTATTATGAATTATTATTATCACTTTTTTAATTTTTTTATTAAAAAAATTAAAAAATTACAAATGAAGCTCGAATATAAATGGGTATGCCGAATTCTATAATCTAAACACAATTTAAATTTCCCTGTCCGTACAAATACCAATTATTGAGCAACGTGAATGAAATACAATCTACAAGCAGAGGAATATGCTCTACTACCTACGGAGAAAGTTTGATATTTAACTCAGGAAATTCTGGTCATTTACATTTACACTCCAGGTATCAAGAGAAATACAGGAGGTCCAACAATAGTCAATATGCACATTACTACCAGGCAAACTTTTTCCACACATCACATTACTAGGAAACTCTCATACCAAACTACTACCATTCAAAGCCAACCAAACCAAACATGGTGCACTTGCCTCTTATTACATCTCTGTTTCTTTTTCGGCAGCGCATGGAGCACAAGCTGGACCTTTCTCCGCTTCAACCTGCTTATATGCCTTGGCTATCTCATCTACAGGAACTTGAGGAAAGTAGCTGAAGCAAGTATAACCCTTGGAAGACAATTCTCCGATCCTTTTGTTATACTTTTCTGACCAGTGAGCAATGCGGGGAATAGCCATCTGTGCCATCACGTGGAGCACTGGAAACTGATTGGTTACGTACCAAAACCTCGCCAAAATGCTCAAGAACAAACTAACATATACAGTGCCAACATAGTGAATGGCAGCAGACGGGCCACCAACTTGGGCCTCCTGGACTAAGGTTTGGGCTACGTGTGATGCATTCTGGACCATAGACTGGGCTTTGTCAACAACCATCTTGGCAGAAGGTGGAGCACGCTCGTCAAACTTGTTTGCTGCTTCATCTGCCTGCCGTTCACAACAAGTGTATAATTAATTCTTAAGCACTATTAGTGTCCATAAATTATGTTTCAATACTATGATTAAATCAAGGAACAAAACTGTATTGCCATTTACAGCACTTTCAGCATGGTATACATATAGACAAACAATATGAGGAACTATGACAGGGATTTAGAACAGGAATCACCAAGCATATAAATTCATCACCAGCGCGTCACAGCCATCATGAGATGAATCTCGGCAATCCACTTACAATTTGAAAATTCAACAAATTTAAGGTAATAGCAAAGAATGCAATTAGTGTTGATTTAAGGAAAAATAACCACTAGTCAGGACTAGTGGGTCCAATGTTTCTCTGCCACGATCACATATTTCTCAACAAAGTTCACTAGGATACTGAATTACATCCTTCAAAATGACTGACTCCTCAATTAGAAGTGAAAAAAACAGAGGAGAAGACTAAAAGAAAAAAAAAATCCTTTATCAGTAAAGAAAATTAAGAATGCCAACTCTCAATATACAATCCACATCAGATTGTTTTTCAAAATATGAAAACAAAACAGAGGAGGAGAAAGAACAGATTTAGATTACTAGACGTTTGGGCATATACTGTGCATGTGTATGGAGCAGTTCAATCATTGTTGTTACTCAAGTCTGAAACAGTTAAATCTGAAAGAGTATTTTAGGTGTAGAAAAAATTGTGACAATTTCACAAATCGCATAAAAGATAGGTGGCAAAAAGAAAAAATGGATAAGACAAAAAAGTAGCATAATCAAGAACCGTGTACAACACACACAAAAAAAAAAATGCACTAGCTATTCTATAACCTTAATTGGATCGTTGAGTGTAAAGAAAATAAACGATTATAGTTTCTCACCTAGGTAAGGAAAAAAAATGATTATTTCCTACCTTGTTTGTATTTAGATGGGTAGTTTAGGTAATATAATTTTTTTTATAAAGAGTAATTTTGTTTTCTCACCAAATCTTACCAGGTTTGGAGATTTGGAGATTTGTCATTCTCACCAATTTTCTTCCCTTTCTCATCATTTCTCACCTCATTAATTTTTATTTTTTTGATAAATATTTCTCATCTCATTAATCATCCAAACAAGTGATAAGAAACCTCATTCTCTCCAGTTCATTTCTTTTCTTTTCTTTTCTTTTTTGTTTTTTCTCACCAAACCTTTCAATCCAAATAGAAATACAAAACCAACAAGATTCAAATATACTGACAAAGAAGCCACAGCCACAGATATCATTAACTAGTGAATTCAAGTTGCTCATGACATAAACCAAACACACATACACATGATATATAAAAGATACACATAATCGCAAATATTCGCACAAGAACGTACTATCAACCAGTAGAAAGAAATACACACTTCGCATATACATGCATCATGACAAAAACACATACACCAAGGATAATATCACATAATTAATATGTTCAATTATTAACTATTACTTGTAGAAATTGAAACAACCAAGAATTCAACATTCGTTCACAACTTCCTCAATCAAATTCTGTAATACAGCATAATCAATACAAACAATCACAAGAAAATCACAATCAAAGTCACATACTCGATCTTTAGCAGGATATATATATATATATCTAGATCCACATATAAAAACGTATTTCAACTCAAGAAACACTCTATTAAAACAATAATAACGCTGATTAGTACCTTCTCATCAAGTTAATATGTTCAACTATTAACTATTACTTGTAGAAATTGTAAAAACCATTTCCACAAGAACTCCACATACTCGTCCACAACTTCCTCGATCAAATTCCGTAAAATACAGCATAATCAATACGAACAAGCACAAGAAAATCAGAATCAATCGAACTTTAGCAAGATATATATATATATCTAGATCTGCAAACAAAAACATTTCAAACAATAATTACACAGATTAGTACCTTCTCATCAAGGAAAACAAGGAGATCACTAGGTACACCCTTGAATTTCTCGTAAACAGGCCCAACGACAGTAGTCACAGCACTCTCCACCGTCCCGACAGTCGATTTCAAAGGACCAGAGTTCTGCTTCGCGTATTCGTAGAGATTCGAGACGCAAAAAAGAGCGTTGATCGCAATCATCCTCACAAACCCTAGGCGTTTCAGTTCTCTATCACTGTTCTCGATCTCGATCTGCACAATCAAAACGAAGAAAAGAATCATCAAAACGGCAAAAGAATCATCAAATTGAAGAAACAACAATAGGAGAATCGACCTACACAGACCTTGTTCGAATCCATTTGAATGCGTTCGTGGTAATTCGAGAGCTCTCTCGTCTTGTTCTTTGATTGTTCGAAAGTGAAAATGATGAATGGCTTGGAGCAAGGGATAGAATATATATCGTACAGTATTAGTGACGGAAGTACTAGAAACTTCCAGTGATCTGAGACGTCCGATAGGTTTCGCGGTCCGTGTGAAGCCACGTGGATGAAATGTGGGGCCTAGTGAGAGAGATTCTTCTTCTGGGGCTTTTTCCTAATTAAACTAAAATACCAAACTAATTTGTAGGCCTAATTTTAACGGATTTCTCAAATAAATTGAAAAGTAGTCAGAAATTACGTTTTTACTGTTTTTGTAATCTAACTTTAGAAAATTTGTAAAATAATTAAAAACGTGATTACAAACTACGTTTTTAAGGAAATTTGATTTATAAATAAAGTGTTATTTCTAATTATGCTTTTAAATAATTTTTTTTAATTCAGAAAACGTGGTTAAACGTGATTTCTAACTACGCTTTCTTAATTATGCTGTGTTGTGAATAAAACGTGATTTAAATAATAGACCAAACATCACGCACTCGCAAACACTCACTCACTCACTCACTCTCTCTCTCTCTCTCTCTGACACACTCACACACACACTTCCACTCACATCAAACATATATAATTTGTAATATATATAAATTTTATTTTATAAAATTGAGATTAATATTAAATATATAATAATAATAATTTATAATAGCAAATAATAATAATATAAAATAATTATTTTTTTATTTTAATTCTTAATTTTTTTTTTAATTTTACTGTTCAGGGATAAAATTTATTTTTTTTGATTTTTGGGTTTAAGGTTTAATTCTTAAAATTTATTTATTTTTATTTTAGGGTTTAGGATTTGTAAAAAAAATAAATTTTAAGAATTAAATTATAAATTCTAAGGGAAAATTGGCCTAAGGTCCCTCCTCTACTTTTGATAGGAGGAGAGGTCCAAAATAATATGTCTTGATGGCTAAGGTCCTTCAGATTTATTTTAAGTTGTAAAGTACCTAAACTACCCTTCTTTTATAACATAAATTTGTTTGAATATTATATTGTTGACTTCACGATGAGATTTTGGAAACCGAATTCGCAGTAGAGATTTTGTCGGAGATTGCAGTGGAGTTGACGAGAAATTTGTTTGAATATTATATTGTTGACTTCACGGTGGAGATTTCGTTGGAGATTTCAGTGGATTTGACGAGAAAGATTGCTACGATTGTGTAGATTTCGACGGAGATTTAAGTGGTGTTACAGTGTGTTGATCGCGTAGATTTTCAGTGAAGTTGAATCAGGTTTGTTTTCGATAGAGATTCCAAATGCATTTTTTATTTTTGTTTTGAATTTTTGTTTAGAGAGAGGCCAGCTTGATAGAGCTGATTTTTATTTTTGGAATTAATTTTTGATTCTCTGTTTTTTTTTTTAATCAATTTCAAAGAGTGTTGACAGTGTGTTGATCGCGTAGGTTTTTGAGTGGAGTTGAATCAGGTTTGTTTTCGATTTAGATTCCACATGGATGTTGATTTTTGTTTTGAATTTTTGTTTAGAGAGAGACCAGCTTGATAGAGTTGATTTTTATTTTTGGAAATAATTTTTCATTCTTTGTTTTTTGATCAATTTCAAAGAGTGTTGACAGTGTAGTTGATTTTGATGTTTAGAGTTTATTTTTCGTGCTTTGTTTTTTATCAACATGCTGATCAATGATAAGTTTTGTTCTATGTTTTTTCAAATCAGAGAAATTTCATTTTCTACATTTTTGTTGGTATAGTCCAAAGAAAATTGTAAGTTTGTTATTATAATTCAACGAAAATCACAGAGAAAATTATAAGTGCATATGGACATATTATTAGAAATTTCTAATGCAGATAGAATCTGAGAAAGTGAATGTAAGTTCATAAATTTCTCTGGACTTTTGTTTGTAGTTCAGAGAAAATTATAAGTTTGTTACTCACTTTGAGTTTGTAGTTCAGAGAAAATTATATGTTTGTAGAAGATAAATAGAAGTTTTTGTTTCTTTAAGGAAAAGTTATTTTTTGTGTTTTTTCTTTCAGTTTAGATGGACAATGCAGTATTTTTTGTTATCTTGAAAGTATATATAAGTTTTTAAATTTCTCTGGATTTTTCTATGAGTGCAATATTGCAGAATGACACATAGAAAATTGTTAGCTTGCAGTGAGGTGAAAATCACATAGAAGCCTATAATTTCATAATAGATATTCTGTGTGATTTTTTTCTATGATTCTGTTTAATAGTTAGCAGTGAATTTCTCTGTGATTCTCTTTGGATTCATTAAGTTTCTGTGATTTTGTTTTTTGTCATATTGAAGGTGAATATAAGTTGTAGATGTCTTTGGACTTTTATTTTAAGTCCAGAGAAAATTATAGTTTTTAAAAATTTCTCTGGACTTTTATGTTGTTCTTTTGAAGTGTTTTTATGTTAAACAAATTATTTTTCTTATTTTTTCTTTTAGTTTCAATGGACAGTGCAGTGTTGTTGCTGTGCAAATATGGGAATGATACTATTGTCATTAATGTTTCATGCGAATTGAATTTTGAGAAATTGGTTGGCATTTTTGTAAAACATGGGAGAATTTGAAACCTGAGACTATATTTATTTCATATTCTATTGTGGGTCATCCGAATTGTATGGTTCGAAATAATATTGATTTTCTGAATATGTTGAGGGTTGTTTGTGCACGCGGTGTTGATATAGTTGATGTTTCAGTTACTAGATGTAGTACTTCTGATGAAAAGAATGAAGTGGGGTCTAATTGGGTAGATGTTGTAGATGGTGAGTGTGATAGGCTGGTGGATATTAAAAGGAATTCACTCTCTAAGTCTTGTTCTCACCAAGAAAAGGTGTTATTGTCGGCTGGTTGGCGAAATAATATTACGAGTGTTGGACAAAAGTTTGAGGGTGGTGTGGTTGAGTTTCGTATTTTTTATGCAAGTATGCTATTGAGGTTGGTTTTCAGTTTACGTATGTTAAAAATGACAAGCTGAGGGTTACGGCAGAATGTGCATATAAGGAATCAAAGGGATGCATGTGGCGTGTACATGCTTCAGTTGAAAAAATAAATGGGTTCTTCTACATAAGAACTTTGAACAATGAACATAGGTGTGGTGTGGTGGTTCGTACGAGTAAACATGCTAGGATGACTTCCAGCTTAGTTTCAAGGCTGATACTTGAAGAGGTAAGTGCAAAACCTTTAACTCGTCCAGTGGATGTTGTCAAAGAAATGAAAGACAAGTATGGGGTCTCAATCAGTTATAACTGTGGTTGATTGGGTGTTGAAAAAGCAAAATGTAGTACATATGGGGATTCTTGTTTGTCATTTGATTAATTACGGTGGTATTTTGATGAGGCATTGAAGAACAATCCAGGTAGTCGTTTTGAGTTAGATTTTGAAGATAACAAATGTTTCAAAAGAGTGTTTGTGGCTTTTCATGCATGCATTGCTAGTTTCAAATATTGTTGGTCATTGCTTTTTCTTGACGAAACATTTTTGAAAGGACGATATAAAGGAGTTATGCTTGCTACAACGGGGAAAGATGGGAATGAAAGTAATTGTAAATATATCTAATTTTATCTAAGTATGTGAATTTTCTATACATATAGGAATTGAGTGAATGTGAATTTTCTCTGGTTTTGGCCATTGTGTGGATTTTCTATGGTTGTGACCACTGTGCGAATTTTCACTGGATTTTGGTCAGTGTGTGAATTGTATCTGTAGGTGGTCACTAAGTGAATTTTCTCTGGATATTATGATTGTGTGAATTTTCTCTGTAGTTGGTTACTAAGTCAATTTTCTCTGGATGTTGCCAATGTGTGAATTTTCTCTAGAGTTGGGCACTAAGTGAATTTTCTCTGGATGTTGGCAGTGTCAAACTTCTCTGGTTGTTTATTGTTCTATTTTTCTCTGCATGTGTATATCTAATATGCTTGTTCCTATTTGTTTTGTAGGTTTTTTTCCTGTAGCTTTTGCTGTTGTTGATGCTGAGAATAAAGACAATTGGTGTTGGTTTCTTGAACATTTATGTGGAGTACTGGGATCAGAAAGGGTGATAAGTTTCATATCAGATCGACATTGTGGTATTGTGGAGGGAATTGCTAGGTTTTTCCCTGACTGCTTTCATGGATTTTGTCTTGAACATCTAAAGAGAAATTTGAGGGATAAGTTGTCATGTGGAAACACAAATTTGGTTAGGGAGACGATTGTGTCCAAGTTTTCAGAATGTGCATATGTTCCAACAAAGGCATCATTTCATTTAAAGTTAAATGAATTAAAAAGTGAGGGAGGAGACATTGTGAGTGTTTTCTTGAGAAGTTTAACATATGAAAATTGGAGTGATGGATATTTTGCGGGGAACGTTATGGTGAGATGTATTCAAATGTTGCTGAGTCATTCAATTCATGGATACGAGAAGCTCGGCACTTGCTAATAACATATTTGGTGGACATGATACGGTTGCAAATCATGAATATGAGGTCTGATAGGAGGCTGCTCTCTAGTAAATGGAATAAAATTCTGTGTCCTCGTATGGATAGTGTGTTGGAGAAGTCTTTTTTGGACGGGAGGACATGGAATGTGAGTTTATCATCTGATAATGTCTTTGAAGTGCATTGTTTTCCTTCGGTTATGGTTGATCTTGGGTTGAGAACTTGTTCATGTCGAAAATGGGAAATAAATGGGTATCCATGTCAACATGCTGTTGCTGCAATTTTTAGGAGTGGAAAGAATTTGAATTCATTTGTTGAACCATTTTTTCATGCTGATATGTATCGTCAAGCATACTTGTTTTCGATTGGCCCAGTTCCAACTGTTGAAAAACCTGTGTGTAGCATTAAAGATGCTATGATTTTATCTTCATTGAGCAAGAGACCAGCTGGGAGGCCGAAGAAGAATAGAATTGCTTCTACTGGAGAGTTTAAAAGGGTGATTAAGTGTAGTTGTTGTGAGAGTATTGGTTACCATAATAAGAGGACATGCAAGGAAACTTTGTTAAATAGTTGAGGATTATACATTTTATTGATTGAATAATACATTTCATGATTACTTTGTGTATTTTGTTTTGTGAAATGTATTTTTTAGACAGTGTCTATAATAATATCAATCAAATT